GACAGCTGCTTTTATGTCGTGAAGGCTACAATGCCCGGCCCCAAAAAACAGACAGATCTTCAATTGGTCGTGTCGACGATGACCGAACTGCCCTGGCCACGGACTGTTATTTCTACACTGTGCTGGGCTCTGGATTGCGCGAGAAGGGGCGTGTGTAAGTGCATGAGCGGAGAGCTTGGACTCAGCGCCAGTGGCGATCGATCTGCACAGTCTGCGGCAAAGGGTGGCATGACAAATGAAGTCCAAAAGCAATATCAGCCAGTGGCAAGACCACTGTCGCTGCTTTTACAAGGAAGCAACCTCCTTGGAATCTCTTCAGCGAGAGCATCCGTGCCTGCACCGCCGCTGGAGGAGCACTTGCGGTCGCTGGGCCAGGATCCGAGCTGCCGGATCTGCTCCAAGCAGCTCAACCTCGAACTGCTCAAATGGCGGGTAAATCTTGTACGTATACAGGTGTTCCCTGGCTCGCAGCTTCGAGCTGGTTCTGTACGATGCAGCAGGATGCGCGTGGACATATTCATCTCTCACCTCACAGGCAAGCAACACCTGAAGAAGGTGCGACAACTCGCTCCACGACGATGATGGCCCAAGGCGGGCATCTTTCATTTCAGGCATGTGGGTACAGAGAATTGCCTCTTGCACGAGCTGCCACTGGCACTCACCATCAATCTTCGCTCTGGTGGCTCTTCCAGTCGTCACAGTGACTCTTCAATTCGTCGACTACGGGTTCGACAAGGATGAAGACACCCTGGACTGGCTGTTGAACTGAGCGACCCGAGAAGGAGGCCTTTGCAACAAAGCTTCGAGATTCAGATGCGCCAATAGTTTGGCCATCCAATTCAAAGCCATGACGAGTGCAAAAGACATGAAGATCCCCGAGGAGAAGTTCCATTACTCTTGGGCTAGAAGTCCATTTGTCGAGAACTATCAGCAGCCTCTCAAGCACTTGTTGACGATGTATTGAACTTGCTCACAAGAGGTACAGGTCGCAAGCTTGTGCGTTGATCTTCACCTGCAGTTGTGTCGAGGCCTTTGAGCTTACAGACGCTGACAACAACAACCGCGCCATGTGCAATGGCTAGAGACCGCCGGTTATTTGAAGGATGCTTGACGCTGCAGCTTCTCCTGAACAAGCAGCTTCTCCTGAACAATGGAAACCAGCCAGGAGTTCACTCAGACACGCGCTATCAACTTGACAGGCGAGATGCCCATGGTTCAGATCGTGGACGGACTATATTTATATATTTATTTGGATTGTCGTGGTGAATTTGGCCCTCTTATTCGGCATTGAGCGGCGCTCTGAAAGAGTAGGCTTGCAAAACCGAAGATGACTGGTGAAGCCAAGCTCGAGGAAAAGCCTGAACCGGCTCCCGAGCCTCCAACCTCTGCGCCGCTGATATTGGGCAGCTGCCTGGGATTGGACCCATCGATGCAAGGCTACCACTACCACCTTGGGAAGCAGCCGTGCCATCCAGTGCAACGGGCCCGAGGCCCAACCGCTGGCACAAACACATTCATTAGTCGTCCTCAACAGCAAGCGCCAGATCCGAGTGGGCACTCCTAGGCCTCAACACTGCAAGTGCATGGGTCGGGTGGCTGCCACCACATCTCTTTTCACTTGCATTAATTTGTCTAGCTTGAAGGCCATGGGCCTTCAAGACAAGGACACTGACCGAGCGCAAGGTTAATTATTTAATTAATTATCGGCATATCGGATCCTAGGCGTATCGGTAGCGGATAGTTAATAGTACTAAGCACCGGATGCGCCAGATTCGAAGGATCTCCCAGCCCTCCCCTTCCATGCATGCGTTTTACCGATAAAGAAGTCGATTCGAAGATATAATATGTTAATGGTACCTTTTTTTTGAGGGATCTCTGAACCCTCCCCTGCATTCACCACCACCCATTCAGATGACCTGGTTAAGCCACGGGTCTCTAAATCCTCCATTGACCAATGCCTGAAGGTCTGGAAGAGTGGTGCTCGGATCCTTGCTGGCCATGGTCGCAAGCAGGACTGCACATGGATACCGGAATGTGATCAGGGTTCTCCACCATCGCCCCAAAAAGATCCCTTGGCCCAGGCCAAGTTGAAGAGGTTGCAAATTGTTTTCAAGTAATTAGTCTAGCCCAAGGCTCATTTATGATAGATACATGGCTGGATGCCACATGCCGGCCAAAGTCCCGGGGATAAGCAGCTGATGCACCCATATCAGCTCCACCAGACCTGACTACGCATGTTAATTGTTTAGACCCCCAATAAATCTGCATGTGCAAATAAACAAAGGTTCGAACTCACCAGTGATATTAAAAGCCAGGGTACACAGACTTCTTGTTGGAAGATTTGGAAACTGTGGTCTTGACCATCTGTTTCCTTTGCACCTCCGCCCGCTGACGGATTTGAAGCCTCATTGCTTTGGTTATCTTCTGGTTGAGATATGGCATCCACGGCCTTTGCGCACGGCTGATCAGTGTGAATAAGCCATTCTAGTACCTAACCAATCAGGCTAGAACTGCAAGATTGAGACTCCAACCAATTTCCAAATCCCATTTCGGGCTTTATCGACCAGCCACCAAA